CCTGACGGGGAAGCTGCAGGCAACGCTGCCCGCTGCGCTCGGCGCCGGCGGGCTTCGGGTGTATCTTGCAGCGGCGGAGGTTTGATAATGCATTGCCCTTGCACCTTCGGGTGGCTTCACCTTTGCCCTAAAGCTTCTTCGCAGCCTGGCCAGTAGTGCTGCAGACGCCGTCGCATCTTAAGGCAGCATTTAAACCTTGCTTGGGTTTGTACTAATGGCATACGTGGCTGTGGGCTAAATCTTCCTGCCCCTCCAACGGCAGCGCTTTGTGAAACGAGAGATCTGGGACTTGGGTGAGTGACGCCAGGCATCACCCTGTTGTTACAGCTTCCATCGTCTCCAGCGCAGGACCGCGTACGAGAGCGCTGGCCTCCCGCGGTCTCCGCGCTGGCCGCGGCCTCGCTCGTCATGAGTCCGTGTGCCTGAAGCGCCTGTTGACCATCCAGTGTCGTCTTCGAGTCTACCCGGTCAAGACTCGGCATGTGCTGCGGGAATCCTCTCTGTCTGACTCCTAGAAATAAAGTAACTGGATAAATCTGCCGGAATGGTAGAGAAGTGCTTAAATTGAGTCAAAAGGTCAATGACCATTGAGATGAACTCTATAAAAGCTGGGCAGGAGGCAATTCTGTGACCATAAAAACTGTTTCATACCAAAATAAAGCGAATGTAAAAGTGAAATCAAAGGTAAATGTGGACAGAGCTCTGGAAGTGGTAGACTGATGCACCGTTTTATTGAGAATGAGATACTTCATTAGGTTAACTTTCCAAAATAGTACTTCACAGAGACTCATAATTAGTTTTGATAACAGTTTAAAAAAAATGCCGTGACCTTTAAAATAACGCTGGTACATCTACTACATATATTAATGATTTATGATAGAGTATTTATGATCAAATGTAAGTTTTAAGCTTTGTAATTAAAGATAATTGCTTTAATGAGATTTTCTGTAATTGTAACATTGTGTCTAATACCAATCATTATACGATTTAAAAACCCTCTGGAGAAAATCTTAGAAATCTTAGTGAGTGCTGCACATCTCATTTTCCATGCATTGGGCTTAAATTTGTACCCTCTGTGCCTAATTTGTTGCTTTCTTTAATTGATGTTGTTGCATGAAATTTTTCCTTTTTGGTCATTTGATACCCTGATAGAGATTGGTTGCCTAGCTATCACCTCTCTGTAGGATGGTGTTAAAGAAGATCTTCGTGTTGTCAGGTTAAAGAGCGGGTAAGTACATTCTAGACTAGCATGCTGATTGATTTGCATCTTCATGGTTTTGAGGTATGCGATTGTATGGTGGTACGGTAGAAAGCTGATTTGACCAACAAGGTAACAGTCTGTATTGCCACTTTCTTTGGTTCTTTTTGATACTCCACTATTTTAATTACTGAAACTGCAATTTTTAAAAGTTTCTCTGCAGGTGGAATGCCTCCTGTTCCTCAAGTGGCTCAAGAGATTAGCCAGGAGCAAAGCCAACGGCAAAATGGACCAAACTTGTCAAGTTTGCATAGTTCCTTACCTGTTCCACACAGCAGGAACACAGCTTTTCTTCGGCAAGTACAACCAGCAGGCTGTGATAAGAAGCATGTGCTTTTGGTCCCAACTCCAGTTCCTGTACGGCAACAGGTATCAGATTTGCATATTATATTGTATGCGGCTTTGAACGGCTGGTTTTTGTATACTGCACTTGCTGTTGTTGTCTATTCTGCACCATTAAATAGTCTGTCTGAATACTGGGAAGAGAGTATCCTCAGAAAACAGAGCAGTAACGTGTCTTGTTAAGAAAATCTAGACAAGATTAATTTTTGGCGCTTTACTGCCACTTTCTCTGGAAATTTTACTTCTGTAAAGAACATATCTGTTCATTTATGTCAATTTGCGATGGCTACCCAACTCTCAGTTTAAATGTTATTGTGCTGGATTTTCATTGTATCATAGAATCATGGAATCATAGAATAGTTTGGGTCGGAAGGGACCTCTAAAGGTCATCTAGTCCAACCCCCCTGCCGTGGGCAGGGACATCTTCAACTAGATCAGGTTGCTCAGAGCCCCGTCCAACCTGACCTGGAATGTTTCCAGGGATGGGGCATCCACCACCTCTCTGGGCAACCTGTGCCAGTGTTTCACCACCCTCGGCGTAAAAAATTTCTTCCTTATATCTAGTCTAAATCTACCCCCCTTTAGTTTAAAGCCATTAATCAAATGAATGAATCAAATGAATCAAATTCATTTCATGCTTCAAAGCAAATTTCAAATGTCTCTGGAAGGTTGCAGGTAAGTTACAAGGTGCAGCAAGAAGGAACAGCGTGCTAACCTCTCACTGTGTCCAGGCAGTGTCGTCGTCTGTTTTGTATTGAGACTTCGTGGATGACAGAATTTATTACTCCAACCTGGGGAGAAAGGAGCAAATATTTTCAGTAGGTTTTACAGAAGACTACCACGCGCTAATTATTTGCTTCAGATAGCTGTTGTGTAGCACAGCTGGGTATAAATCTTTCTTTACAATAAAACTTTGTCTTCATTTAAATTCAGAATGCGCTGTAGATAGCTGTGTCTCTCTCTTGGTTTTAATTGGTGGTGTAGACATGCCGTATGATTTTTCTTGAAGAAATAAAAGGAATGAGAAGGAATCGGGCAGATTCTCTAGCAGAGTAGAATTTGTTCTTGTAATGAAATCCTAAAAGGAGATTTAATTAAACAGAATCAATTATTTTAACATTTTATGCAGCATATTTAGAACAAGGTGGCGGCAAAACACAATGAGAATTTGTGCTGCTTGTGCTTACTTGCCAGCAGTTGCAGGACACTTACATGTGTTAATAACAATGCCATAAACTAAACGTATTTTTATATGAACTTTTTAGGGAATTCTGTCCATCTGCCATTTGGCAGGGCATTTCAGTTCTGTGGAAATTCTCACTGAATCAGCCCTGCTCTTCTGATGAGATATAGAGGTACCATATTTTAGGAGGAAAAATAAAATTCTACAGACTGATTGCCACTGCATCCCAAATTTCTCTACTGACTTTACACAATACCGCTGCATCACAAAGCCCTTCAGAGACTCCACATAAATCTGCACAAGATGTGTTATTCATTAACTTTTAATAAAATGCAACTTCAAACAGTGTAGAATGTTTCCAAGGACTGAATAATCATTTCTATTGGTTATTCATGCAACATTTTTCACAGTGTCTCTGTCTTGGTCTTGTGTTGTGCAGTAGGAAACATAAGTTTAATTATGTTTACTTGAAGGAAAATGAGATTCTGCAGCAAGTAACAGCACTGAGGAGGGAAGGTTTATGGTCTCTGAAACGTCTGCCCAAACTCCAAGAGGCCCCACGGCACAAATCACACCATGACTATCTTTTGGAAGAAACGCAGTGGATGGCAACTGATTTTGTTCAAGAAAGAAGGTGGAAGATAACAACTGCCAAGAGAGTAATGTGAATTTGATATTTTCAACCAGAAAAGGGGGGAAGAATAGGCAGCATTTTCATGGTTGGATGTGATCACTGAGGATGTGCGAGTTTTGGTTTCCCTCTCCACTGTGTTTGTAAAGTTTGGGCAGTACTCCTAAAGGGATCATATTTTTTTCTTTCTTTAGAACTATGCTTGTTAGATAGAACAGGGTGAAAACGTACAACAATTTTATGGTTTTATTCAGCTGATTTTAAGTGTGGCTCGTCATCACGAGGATACGGTACTTCATAAGGAAAAATGCAAGAAAAGAGAAGAGACGCAACTGAGGACTGTTGCTGCTTTTACTGCTAGAGAAATTGAACATTTCTGGTCCACCATTAAACAGGTAAATGTTAAAAACAGAAAAAAAAAAATCTAAAGAGGTACTGAATAAAAACCTGTTGGACCATAACAGCGAGAATCTTACAACTGAGCTTTGCTCAGCCCACGTGGTGACTGTTATCTGTTGGTAAAGATAGCTTCATGGTACAGTTGCGTGAATAATTGCAGGCCTTGTATGTCATGGAGGAGAGTGCTTCGCTAATCCTCGCCGGTGCAGCTGGCTCGCTGCGGACATCTATGTTTTGATGTGAGTTATTCTTGGGTAGCTCTTGCTTATTATGTGGATGACTTCTATTCATGGTCAGTTTTGTACACGCTGTTCTGTTCTTTGAGTGCTCTGCATCGCAGCCGTGTCTGATGCCTGTCTTACCGTTGAAGGAATGTTAGGTAATTCGTAGCTGTATTTGAAGCTAAGTGCGTTCATGTTTGTCATTTCCTTCTGCTCTTCTTCCCCCCTACGCTCTCTCCATTTTAGGTGGTAGATTTAAAACGGCAAGTAGAGTTAGAAGAGAGGAGGAAGAAAGTATTAAACTCACAGAATATCTCAGAAAAAGGTAATAAGAACCTAGGAGTTTTTTTAGCATGACCTTTTTTTTTTTTTTCTTTTGTGTACCGGTAGTAGTATTATAAGCTTACCAAAATAAATGTTTAGGAGCTAGTGTTTTGGTCTTAGTGTCGAGTCATAAATATCTCCTTTCTTGAGCTCGCTAACTTCCTGTAGCTTACTAAAGCTTTGATGAACGCACTGTGAAGGCTTTTTGTTGCTGAGCTCTTGTTTGTATCAGGGTTTAGTTTTATGTCCCTTGGGGGCCATGCATGAGACTGAATTCACTAAAACCATCATGTGTGCACCTGTGTCCCACTGCAGTCTGCCCTTGTTCACGTAGTCGAGTTTGACAAACTGGATTTTGCATTATTCTTACAGTGTTCAGAATCCTTCTGTTCTTTAGACCCTGGCTTAGCTGTAAATGGCATCAAATTTGTTAATGAATTATTCATCTCGGATATGGCGGCACCACAATTTTTATTATTTTGTGCAGAATTAAGAGACTGCTTGAATAAGAAAGAGAGCCTTCAGAAGGAAGTGGTGCTTCCAGATCTTCTCACACCTACTGTAAAGAAATACATGGGAGATTTAGCAGACACCGCTGCTGTTGCGAAAGCGTTGTTACCCAAAGGGATGCAACATTCTATCTCCAGAGGTCTGAAGCATTCATTCAAATTTTTCATTTTGCTTTTGTCTACCTTAATTGTTATCTTCGTTGTTCACGGTCATCATCATTTACTCCTGATGGATACGCTTCTGCCTACTGCCTTAAAAGATCTGTGGGCCATTGCCTGTTTCCTGATTCCAGGGATTTCCCAATCCTGTCTGGATTTTACGAAGGTAACATCTGAGGAGGGGAATGAAGATGATTACCAGAGAGTTGCAGTGAGACTGCAGAGAGTATGTCTCCCTTGAGGATACTGTCTTAATACTAGTAATGAATACTCATTATCATCATGAGATTCATCATACTAGTATCTCTTTCTCTGAGGAAATACAGTTAGGAATTATTGTTTTGTATTCTTTTAGGTAGCGCAGTCATTTATTTTGCGGAGGTCCAAAATTCATGTTGAGAAGCAGTTACCAAGGAGATACGAGCAGGTGCTTACATGTACTTTTTCCAATCGGCAGAAGTCAATGTGTAAAGACTTCTTGTCTCAACTAAGGTCCATCTGTTGAGTAGTTCTTAATTGTTCATTCATCATTAAAATTAGGAACAGTTCCAGTTACAGTAAGAGAGCTTGTTTGCTGGTGTGTTATTTCTAAGCGAGTCATGGGCAAACCTAAAGGTTAAAGCACATTGGCATAATCATAGTGTTGTGCGGGCTAATCATGTTCTACACTTAGTGGTTAATTGCATTCATCCACTTCTTCATTATGTGTTTGTTTATTTAGATCTAGTTGTTTTACAAGGTGAAAAGAAGCATAAATAAACAGTATTTGCACTTGATGGGACAAACTATATATGGGACAAAATATTTATAACTTAGACAATTGGCCATGTGTCACAGTTTTTGTCTAAATTTAGTTCTTAAGTTATTTAGGAACTGAATATTCTAGGTTATATGTTACATTGCTTTTCTGATATGTCTAGTTTGTATTTTCCAGTGAATTTGGTAATTTAAGGTGGTATTTATTCAGGTGTTAAAAAAAAAAAGGCCTTAATATTGACAATATGTGTTTCAGATATTATCCGATGTCATTTCCATTTGAAATAGCGTGGCTATTTGAGAAATTCAGGTTTATGATAATCTGAATTTTAAAATAAGAATATATTCTATAAATCTAATAAAGTTTGTGTGAATGTGAGAGAAGCTGGAAGAATGGAAGATTGCATTTTTAAACTCATACTTTTCTAAGTTTGATGACTTGGTGTTATCAGAGTTATTCAGAAAAACAATTTGAGTATGCAAAAAGACCTAAGCTCCTAAAAAGCACCGTTTTTTAAAGATAATTCAAATTATATTTTAATTTTAAATAACAAAACTCAAGAATGTCTTAGAAGTGGGCACTTTGTCAGTGTCCTCCATATTCTGACGCAGCTGCTAAGGGTGTGTAACCATCCTGATCTGATAAGTCCCCGGCTTCCAAGTTCCTCCCTTGTATTGGACACGCTGGAGTTTACAACTGCTTCTCTAGTGCTGAATGCATTAGGATGGGATCTCTGGGAGGTGAGCAGGGAAGTACTTCTCTTGTGCTGGACTTGATTTGACTGGGAGAGCAGGTGGCTTAGGACATAAAATTTCTTACACATAACTCAGGTTCCAATTAAATTTCAAAATCTGAATTGCTAATTCATTTATTTTTAGAAGCAACTGCTAAGACTATAAATAATAACCATTGACTTTAGGGGAGTACTGAATTCAGTAGGTATGCTGGGAATTTGCTATCCTTGTCAAGGGTGGTCAGACTATTTTGCAACATTTTTTGGTTTTGCTTAAAGTTCCAATGAACCGAAACGGATGAGCCTCGGGATCAAGGGAAAGCTGCCATTCTTGTCCTGTCCTGAGGAGCAGTAAAAGCATAGCTGTGTACAGCTCTGGAGATGAGAAGCTGTCTCAGATTCCCCAGTTTGGTTTTAACTATAGTCTGTTTGTTCAAGTTATATTGCAAGGGATTTCATCCATTTTTTTTCTAGTGATTTCAGCAATATTAGAGGCTTAAGAAAGACTGGACAAAGCTAAAACAGTAGCACTATGTGTCCTGGGAAATTCAAATAGTTACTCCTTTAAGCCTGTTGGAAAAATCATTTTGGGGCGGGGGGACAGGGTGAGTGTGAAAGGCTTGTGAAGGAAGTAGGGTTAACGGATCAAAGTGGGAAGGAATGAGCCTGGAATGGCAGTTCCACAAAGACAAATGTTTTAATTACAAGCACTGAATTAACTGCAGAGCTTGTAATTTGAGGGTGCTCTCCTGTTTTTGACTCTTGGTAACATGAGCATAATGCTCTCTTTTCACGGTGTAGGTTGCTGAAACCTTTTAAAGTAACGGCAGCTGCTCTCTGCAAAATCACATGACAGTTGGCTCCTCCACGTTTTGGTTTAATTCTGGCATCAGCTGTTGTGAGCTTTTTAATCATTCTCAGATAATTTGGCACAAATACTGCCAAAACTGAAGGTGACTAGGAAGCTTATTGAAGAGATCTACTGTTCTCCTTCGTCACCCAGACTCGAGCCGATGAGACTCAAACCAAATAGGTATGCAGAGTTCCAGCGACTGATTTATTGATTTATTTATTTTAAGTAACAGGTGAAAGTGAGTAATATTCGTGAGGGTGAGAGGGCTCATTCAGAAGCGTTTGTTTTTCTTGCTGTCTTTTGTTTCCAAACTGATCACTGCTAAAGACTGTATGCTAGTCTTCTGAGGGAAAGCAGGCTGCTTTTTACCACTTAATAGTTCTTTTCATTTACAAAGGCTCAGTTGTGATCTTCCCTGCCAAACTCAATATATTGAGTTCAAATCTGTTTGTGGTTTTGATCAAACAGTGGAAGTGACTTCTGCAGTGGAGTCTCCTAAGCAGAATAATTAAATCTTCTCCTCCTGATTAATTTTAAGTCTAAGATGTGCTTGCAAAGCACTTAAAGAAGTCTTGTTGGTTTTTTTTGGGGGGGTGGGGGAAGGGGAAGAAAAAAAGGTGTTCTGTTAAATTTTGACCTTTTGTTTTTGCTATTGACTCTTCTCTCTGAAGAGCAGTTGGGAGGGTTCGCTTCTGAGTCTTGGAGCAAATGTAATTCTGCTGTAGAGCAATATAGATGTAAACATTTTACAATAAATTAACCTGGTAAGAGCAGAGTATGGTTACTGAAGCCCGGGACAGCTTGTGTAACACGTGGCTGTAACAGGTGACAAGGAGGATGTCCTGCACTAGTTCTATTGGGCAGTTCTGCCAGGAGGGAGCTTTGTCAGTTAATGAAATTTAAGAATTAGAAGCGATAGCTAAAATAAAGCAGAAAAAGAACTAATTCTTTTACCGTTTAGATGTTTTCCCTGAAGTTGTATACGTGAAACAGTTATTCTGAAGTCAGCTTTTACAATCGCAGTATGTTGTTAAAACCAGACTGCCTGAAGGTGCATGGAAGTAGAGATCCCCTGCTTTTTGTACGTACGTTGCACCTAGCCATAGTTAAGCCTTTGCTCCATTAAGAAGTTGGATCCTTATTAGCATCTTTTGGGGAGTTTTCTTGCTGTCTCCAGACTCCAAAGATGACTAAGGAATATGGGAGATCTGTCATGCTTGTACCCCTCCACGTAATCTTTCAGAGAAGACTGGAGCTTTAGAGCTTTTGGTGTACTTGCATTTTACTGTATATTGTGTTTCTTCTGCATGTTGAGAGAAGCAGAATCCCTCCTGCCATATGCTCTGCAGCTGGGCACCTCTTCTAGCTCAGATCACTGACTAAAAATATTTGCTTTTTAACTTGATTTTCTATTAGGAAGAAGGGATTAACAACTTCCTCGTGTATGGGTTTTTTGTATGTGTAGAAAGCAAATTTGTTAATTTTTAGGTTATTTACACTGGTGCGGTATGGACAGAAGCCCGAAGGTAGGGCTAGAGACTTCTCAAGGTCTCAGTTGCAGCAGACAGTGGACACAGCAACAGTGATGGCAGATCATAATGAGAAAATACAAAGACGACAACCCCTTGCCATGTTTTCAGAAAATCAGCATAGGAAAAGGTGTGTTGTACATATAATAAACCATTGCTTTCTGGTTTGCTGCCTTTTTTTTTAATATTGCTTGAATTTGGGGAAGAAATGAGGTTGTACTGAATGCATTTGTGCATTACATATTTGAATATCAAGTTCCATTAGCAGTTTTCTAACAGGAGTTCGCTCACAAAATCAAAACAAAATTCCTTATTATCTATCAGTCTGTCTTTTTAAACAGAATGATTCTACTGTGCAAACACTGGAAATTTTGCTGACAGTTGCGTTGGTCTCCAGGTATGCCATCTTAGTGAAACTCTCTCTTCAGACCTGACCTGCAGCGTGTGAGAGCTTTCCACACGTGTCGGTCTTAACTGACTGATCAGATTTAGGCATCATCACTGTCCCATTCTCTGGGTCTCTGCTGAGCCACTACTAAAGGTCATTACGAACTGGGTCTTTTGTATATGATACAGCCCTTTGGAACAGACTGTTTCCAGATGATTGGGGATGTAGTGCAGTATTTCAAGCACACTCTTTTTCAGGCCTTTTCTAAATTCTCTACGTAGTGATTTCAGCTGGGTACAGTATAAGTTTTTGCACGGTTGAACGGGAAGCATTCAGCATGAAGGAAGACTGAAAATTATATCTAATAATTATTCTGTAGTCGTAACAGTTTTAAGAACTTCTTTTGTTGCTAAAAATGAATTGTGCAGGAAAAGATCTCTTACACTGTTGTCCCACAAGCGGGGTCCGGTACCCGGTGTGCAATAAGCCAATCTTACACCCAGAGCCGAGATACTCATTTATCTCATGTTTGCGCAAAGATGGGTGCTAGGTGGTAATTCCACAAAGCCAGCACACCACACAGAAGAACTGCAGCGTATTTATATTGTTACGTGTTTAGTAAAAGCCCGCCTAAGTTCATGCTCATTGGTTAGTTGTGTTCAAATGAGCCTCGCTTGCCGTGTAAATTAGCACGCATGCTCCTTGCAGGTGTGGGGGGGGGCAAGACCTTCCAGTCTTGAATTGAGTCGGCGGTCACGGTCTCCCCCTGCCGCCTTTACCTTTCCCCTAGTTACCGCAGTTTCTTGCTGACTTCTTGGTTTTTTGGCAATCATCTAGCCTCCGACACCAGCTAGGGCAGGATGTTCCCCTTCTATCAGTCTTCTAGTTCTTCTTCAAGGGCAGAGTCGTAAGGCGTGCATTGTTTATGCCAGGTGATCAGGCTAGTACGATGAAGACTGCAGTCTAGGACAGGTACTAACCCAAACATATGGCTACATTTCTGTGATTGTTTTCCCCAAAAACTTTGCTTAAAATATACCTGTGCAGACTCCTGAAGCCCTTGCAAAGTTGTCAAATCAAATGAGTACCCATGTGAAATACCAGTCAAACTGTATCTAGGAAATCATCCTTTTTTTTTTTTTTTCTTTTTTTTAATAGGTCTACCGGTGGTACTGAGGGGAAGAACATTTCATGTGTAGTTTAAGAACACCCAGTATTAGAGGGAGACCTAGTCTGTTTGCAGTTAAGTGCAACCCAAGAGTTATGTCTAGAGTGAAATTGCCCTTCATTGGCAATAGGGCACACTATATGCATGGGATAAGCATTCAAATCCTGCAGTGTACAGTGAGGAAATCCTTATTTTTAAACTTTGGACCTTTTTTGTCTTCTCTTAACAGGTGGCAAGATAGTTCTCGGCCCAATGGCTTCCACAGCTGGAGCACAGGAGAGACTTGCTCAGCCAGAGAAGCCTGTAACATTACAGTTTAGAGGGAAAACATGTACTTTGTCTTACGGTCAATTCTGTCAGCTTATTGGTGGACAGTCTCTGAAGCATCAAGATAAGGTGCTACATGATTCAATTCACATCTTTCTCTTTTTTTTTCCTCCTTTTTTTTCTTTTTAACTTTAACTATTAAGAAATCAAAATTCTAAAAGCTACAATACCCTTATATTGTAATATCACGTGTCTGTGAAACTAAATTATTTTTCTTCACTGAAGTATTTTTCTTGCCTTGCTGCTTTCCTGGAAAAAAGAATTTATTAGTGTGACAGTGGATGACTTGAGTGCTAAATCTAAATCGGTATCTACACTTTTGTGTCCAACTCAGGTACTATGCTAACTCTTTATATGATAGAGCATATACTTGATCATGAACAATGTATATTTTACAAGATTCATGTGTGCATATCTGTCCACTGAAATAGTCAAAGCTTTACTATTTAAAGCATGTAGAATATGGTAATTGACTAGTCTCATCCATCTGTACTAGTGGACTCGCCAATGGTAGTTTGAAAGTGCCATTATATTTTTGCTAGTAGGCGTAGAGTAGGAAAGCAGATTTATTTTTCATTAAAATACCAAACCTAACATATGTCCTTATATCACAAATACTATTCTAATCATCAGCTTTTCTCCTGCTCATATCTCCTTTCATAGTCATTCCTAGAACTCTTGCATTAACTAAATTATCCTTATTTTCAACTTTCTTTTGCATAGATTTCTTTTTCGCATAAGCTTTATCTGGTCAAAATACATTCAGAAAAGAATTTTGAATTTAAAGGGTGCCATAGAAGAAAGAAGACAACTAAAGGAACACCTGGACAGAATATATTTTGGGAATGAACGTCATTGTTCCAGAACCCCCCTGTATGGCAGAGACTTGTTGGACATTTGCTCTTGGATAGGTGAAAGAAAAATCTCTCAGCATTGTTCTGCCAGGACTAACAAATGGTGCTGGGCTGGCTTTGCAAATTGCCTTCCATATTCAAGTACTAAAGAGGTTCTAAAGAATCCATTGCGAGAACTCCGTCTGACAGTGAAGCAGCAACGGATCGCCCTGAAGGGTGTTGTTACTAGGTAATTGAGACAAATCCATTTGCAGTCTCTGCACAAATTTGATGGGTGTATACTGCTATCCAAAACAGGATATTTATGTAAAGTACTGTAAAATGCTAAAAGTGATAAATGAGTTGCCTTGTTTTATCCTTACTGCAGGCTAAACTCCTTTATGCAGAATCTATTTGCATCCCTGATGTATAATTTTAGATCGTTCTAAGATTTTAAAACTCTTAGTAGTTCCATGGTAATTGTTATTAGTTATATAGCAATTCTACTTCATTTTGACGTCTTGTATTTTTTATGTGAATACTTACAAAAAAGTAGGAGTTGTAAGTCAGCTTATCTGGGTAACTTTACGGATAGTGGTAATTCCCTCTTGTCTTGTTCTGCTCTTGAGTGTTTTTGCATTTACTTGATGTTAACATAAAACTTCATCTACTGATTTACTTTCAATTACCTTTAGCCAGGTCCTTTATGCTTCCATGCAGACATCTTCTTTATTACTGTTTCTGAGTAATTAATAGCCCAAGCTGTTAAAAATTAGTATATTAAAGTTTTGGTTTGTTTTAGAGAGATCTGTGTGTATTGCCAGCCGCTGCTGTTGCTACTCCGTATTTGTATGTAGCAAATCCTCCTTACACATGTACCCATGAAATGAAGATCTTGAAGTTTAATCTAAAGGAACAGATACTTCCCTACTTCCATTCAATGCAGCAGATAGCAAGGCCTCATTTTCTACAGTTTCCAGATCCGTGACTGGTGCAGCATGATTCAGGTATTAAGAAAAACCCAAACCACCACCTGTTCTAACTGTGCGAATGTGCTTTCTCTAATTGTTGAAGGCGACCTGCAGAACCTTCAGGTTCTTATTTCATAAACAGGCAAGATGGAAGCTCTGGCTGTCTGACATCGTGTGTTGGTTTTGATGCAGATGATTCCAATGCTTGATATATTGGAGCTTTTCTTGAACTTTCATTTTCTCACATACAAAAGAGTTAATGAGAGTGGTGCTCACAGTTAGCCTTATCTGGTAAGAGAACCTCTTACTCAATGTAGTAGTGAATAGATGCTCATAGTGGGAGGGAAAATGCTAAAGGGAAGCCCAATACATTTGCATAATTTCATTAGTTATTTAAGCAAATTACGTATGTAGCTGTAGCACAAAATATGTAATTATATATGAAATATGTCAGTCATATTACTATTTGATGAGGCATCCAGGGTGTTTCCAAGAGGTATGCCACTAGTTGTCCTACATTTGTGAGTAATTTGTGCTCGAAATACAGGTGTTTTATTTCACAATAGTGTTTTGATTAATTGCTTTCATTATCTGTAGCTATCTACATTGCTAGTACGTTAAGTGTAGTTGCTGTTTTTATGTTGGCACTTCCTCAGCCTTACTCCAGGGGCTTTTGTTTTTTGTAGAGTGCCCTGGCATTGCCTGAGGATAAATTGAAAATATGCTCATTTCCCTCCCCAGTAAGATTCTCAAGTATCCTCTGGGGCCTACAATTTGAGCAAACATTAACAATCTAGTTAAGTTATTATTTTTAAATTTTTTTATTTCAAATTGCATTGTTATGCTTTCTGTCAGATGCAGTGTAAAACATAAAGGAATACTTTTGCCTTAAAGCAACACGAGGCAGCACAATAGAAGGGATTCAATTTAGTCAATAGACAAGAAAAACGATGAAGCACGCACAGAACGTGATAACTCGGTCAGGTGTGCTTAGTCATAGGACATAATGTGACTACTGTAACAGATCTTCAGATTTTTATCTGGTTGACTGCACCATAAATTAATAGTTTTAATGGTACACAAATTAATTTTGAATTGTGTAGATCTGTAATGTGGGCAGTCACACTTAAAATGTTTGCAAGCTTAATGTAGGTTGGGGAACTACTAAGAAAACAATTTTTCTGATCTTCTCATTCTGTAAAGAAGTTTGTTTGGAGATTTATGCTTTATTAATGTGAATTTGTAATCAAGTTGCTTGTCTCCCCATTTGAGGAATCCATAAAAAACTTCAACCAAGACAAGCGATTCTCCTGTGCCGTTCTCTCTTCCCACACTCCTTCCACAGGTGTCCGCCATGTAGATGCGGATACTGTTGTCTTCTACGACACTGATTTAGATCTGCTGATGGATACAAAGGCTGAAGAATGGCGTGGTAACATTGCAAGAGACAGAGATATGTATACAGGTGACTTTTACGCTAAGAAACAGTAAAGGTGTTTTAAAATCAAAAATAGAGGGAAGATGTTTTTAGGTGAAACTAGGATTTTTGGTTGAGGTCGTCCTTTTAGTTTAAGTCATTTGTTCTTTTAAAATCCCTTTAAGGATTGGATCAGTCAGACATACTTCTTCCCTTCAGACCAAAGGGAAAATGAAAACCCTGTCCTGTCCTTTCCCTTACTGTAGCCTCTATTCCTGTCTCTCCCTCCCACTTTCATCTTGTAAGCCATCTGGATTTCTGTGTTGGGACGGTCAAAACAAACGTTAATATCTGTGGGTGTTTCCTGCTCTTGATAAACAATAAATGTCTGTCTTGATGGTCTGTCATCGGATTTCAAATCCACTAGTGATGAGATGCTGATGTTCATGTAGTTCTAAGATGTATTTGAAAGCTTCTCTCGAGTGACTGTTTCTTTTCCTGGAAGGATGTGCTGAGAGCAGAGGGGAGCTCTTGCTCACCTTGCACCCCTGGCCAAGTATGCATGGGTGGTGTCTGTTAGCAAATACCCTGCTATTGTAAGGATTTTTTTAAAAATCCAGTGGTATAGAAGACAGTACTGTTTATTGTTCATTTGGAAAATAAGAACGTAGAAGAACCTGGTGTTTCGAAAATACGAAATCAGATGTAAAAAAAGCGCCTTCCTCTAAGAAACTAAAAAAGAATACAAAACTTCTACGAAAACACCTGATGGACTCTAAACAAGTGTTGGTGCTCACTGCTGTAGGCGAGGAACATTAGACATGAAACAGTTGAGTTTCAGAAAGTGTCACTGTTTTCTAGAGAGCAGTATTTAATGAGTTTGTTTGTTTTACAGCCTTACAAGTGGTAATTCTGTTGAAGAGAGGCTGTTGAAAAAAGGTATTAAACATTTGATTCAAGAAGTGTCTGCTCAAGGAGATGATTGTTCAACAAACTTTTTAACTCAGGTACTGTAACTTAAGAATGAGCAGTTCTTTAGCGATATGTAAAAAATAAGTGCTTTACTAGATCAGAGTCAGAATTTTAAACATCATCTAGTTTTATATTTATTTCCAGACTTGTTTGGGGGCCAGTGGTATGTGATTACAGTTAAAATCAGTAAAAATCCTGAATTGTTAGCTTGTATAGAAAATCAGAAGATAAAAAATATCTAGAAAGAAAACTGTGTTTGTTCCAATGATAATTTTACACTATTTTTGCTATTGTTTTAATCAAACGAAAACAACATCTCCTGCAGCAAAAGGTGTCAGATATGTCTGTAATCTGACTTTCCTAAACTCAATTTTAGGATTATTAAAAAACTTTTGACATCACACATTGTCTTACCGAATACTTGAAAACATGTTTCCATAAGGTGGTTCTTTGCTCTGAATATGGAAAAGAGGATTCCAGAAAGTTTACAGAAGAGACACGATCCGAGATAAGAGATGACATAGATTCAGAGTTGTATGATTCAAGAAATACCATGGTTCCTTCACAGTTAGAACAGCTGGCTAGCTTTGTGGATGAGGTATGACGATTTCTCGTTTTACATAAAGCTTTAGAAATATTCGAAATTCACTTTTCTGTGCAACAATCAAATGGCTTTCATGAAGTATCTTATTTCCACTCCATTTACATGAAACTGTTCTGTGCAAACTTAAATATTGAAACAATCCTGGGAGGTAATCTGAGCTTGCTGATAGATCTGTTCACGTACTGAAACATTTAAGTCACCAAATGTTCTGAGGATTGTGAATTGCTTTGGACTAAATTGTATCTTGTGACACAAAACTGTTTTACAGTCCTGTGCTTTGCCAGATACTTGTGTTTTTTCTTAAAGTCCTTGGATCTTTTTCTTCTTAACCATGAAATGACTACTCTTAGCATTCCCTAAGTTCTGTCAGGTTCTCATTGTCTCCTTTTCCCTTTGGCTACTTGCGCAGAACCCAGGTAGCAGCCTGCTTACCAACAGCCAGTCGAGAGTGTGCATAATAACTCGGATGGCATTCTCATCTTTTTTTTTTTCCAGTTGGGGAAATGGAAGCCAGTAGTTCAAGCCTATTCTCAGTGATACTGGTGGGATGTGAGCAGACTAGCTAGGGACCAGAACATCAGATTTTTGGTCCTTAGATTTCTTCTCTACCTTAATTACGGTGCCATTATTTGCAACCGAAATAAATACATTTATTGGTTGGGGTGTTTTTCTGCTTGTTTTTAAATCACTGGTTATTTACGTGTTTCTAATTCAAAAGCTAAATAACTAGCAATGTGTCAAAATGTTTTTCTGAACAGCTTAAGCCAATTGAAAAGTATGCATTGAATTTCTTGGAATTGTTTCATACTTTGAATGATCAAAAAAGTCAGAAAGTCAACAAGGTAAGCAACTATGTTTCATTTTCTGAGTAATTAATAAAAACAAAATAGAAAACCCCAACTGTTGTCAGATTTTATTTTTTGTTTGTTTGTTTGGGTTTTTTGTTTATGAGCACTGAAATTTTGCTCAAAATGATTGTGGTCTAAAAACACATGGGTTCCTAATTAACAGGTAGACATATTTCCCTTTCTCTTTAGTGGTATGAGGGCTTTACCCAAGAATGAAAACTCAGTTTAACGAACTTTGCTATGACTGCTAGCCTATAAGAGATGAGACTCAAATCAGTGGTCATTTACTGCTGTTAGCATCTTTATTGTGAAAAGTGGTAATATTTTAAAGCGTACACATTTTCTTCCTAAAAGGAGATTAAAAACTGCAAATGTAAAATGGGAATATCAGCATGCCAAGGAGCTGGAAAAGGCAGAAAAAAAATTTCAGCAAAGAAAGAGGAACTCTTAACTTAGACCAGATAGGATGTTTGTAACACGGTAACATCAAGGGATCTCCAAGTCCCTGCTTGTCGAAGAATTTGCGTATTGTGACTATGAACCGTGTATTTAAGTATGTCTGTTGGGTTTGTATTGCACTGGTCTTGTGCCCTCGCACAAGTATGGTACTCTTGAAATTGAAGCTGTCACTCTGTGGACAGTTTTAATTCTGTAGAGTAGCAAGTTGCTTTTTTAGCAGGAAGACTGTCGTTTTGTAGGCTGACTTGGAATTGCACAGTTACGTATCAAGGGAATAATAACTGAAGGAAGAGACTGAGAAAAATGTGCTGCCTTTTGAAAATTGATTTTTTTTTTTTTCCTAAGGAATTAATCTTAATTTTTTTATTATAGTTATTGCAAACATGCTTATGTTTCTAAATGCTGGGTTCTGGGCTGGATGATGTATTGAGGTATTGAAAATTCCTTGTTTCTCACTGTGGTGGTTTAACCCCCGCCGGCAACTGAGCACCACACAGCCACTTGCTCACTGCCCCTGCCCCGATGGGATGGGGGAGAGAATCAGAAGACTAAAAGTGAGAAAACTCATGGGTTGAGATAAGAACAGTTTAATAATTGATATAAATTAATAATAATAATAATGATAAAAGAACAGACAAAGCAAGTGATGCACGGTGCAATTGCTCACCACCCGCCGACCGATGCCCAGCCAGTTCCCGAGCAGCGGCCCCCCCGGCCAACTTTCCCCCAGTTTATGTACTGGGCGTGAACCTGCTCAGTCGGTAGAGCATGGGGAGCTGAAAAGTCCTCGACCAGTGTAAGCACTGCTCAGCAACAACTAAACCATCGGTGTGCTATCAACATTGTTCTCACCCTAAATCCAACACACAGCACTGTACCAGCTGCTAGGAAGGAAATTAACTCTATTCCAGCTGAAACCAGGACACTTACACAGGAATTTGTGTGTGAAGACCCAGATGGAGAAGTAGCAATAATGCCTGTAAGTCAGTAGCCCTTATTTCATCTGAAGGAAACCTTACTTATTAAATTTAAAAATATTGCTTTCAAATATTGCAAGCAAATATCACTTGCTTTGTCTGTTCTTCTATTATTATTCTTTATTTTCTCTTCCTTTGCTGTCCTATTAAACTGTCTTTATCTCAACCCATGGGTTTTACTTTTTTTTCCCCAATTCTCTCCCCCATCCCACTGAGGTGAGCGAGCGGCTGGGTGGTACTTAGTTGCCGACTGGGGTTAAAACACGACAGGCACTTACGACTGCTTATTTTTGGTACCTAAGCCTTCAATTTCTGTTTATTCCAGAACATAGATGGTTATCCTCTTCGTGTTAAGACAAGCCTATGCTAAACACAAGAATTCTGAGCACACTCAAATCTATATGAATCACTTTGAGTTGACGACAATGACTGCTAGAAAAAGAAGTTCCTCAAATAGGTTTCAGCAAGTTTACTTCTACTATCAATGATAATTTTTCCCGGATTTAACATTTAAACAGTTTGGTGGCCCGATTGGT